CGCCCCCCCCCCCCCCCCCCCCCCGCCCCCCCCCCCCCCCCGCCCCCCCCCCGCCCGCCCCCCGCGGGGGCCGCGCCCGGGCCGTTAAGCCAGCCAGTCTTGTAGCTCGTAAAATTTTCTATCAGATAAGGTATAGCTTAAATTCTTTTGTTCAGTCATTATTTTGCAAATGGGACTGTAAGCTAGTAGAGTAGGTTATTAACCTTAATAAGGGGGCCCCCTTAACTGAAATCTTGTTGTTACTATCGGCTATCCGTTTGACAGATCAAAACAAGTAACCGTCCATCTATAGATTCAGTCTTGAAACCTACCTGCGATTTATATGAAAATCTTTTCTCATCCCTTGCTTTCTCTACTTAGAGTACACAAACAACGCTAATGAGAAAAAGAAAATCAGATTTTTCTCTATGGGATCGTCTGCCATCAAAGCGATTTAAGAAGCGTATAATCAATCAAATTGATCTTGATACAGCGTCAAATATAATGATGTTAAACAAATATGAAAATATTGTTATCTTATGGTATGATGATCAGTTGGATCAGGAAATAAAAGATAAATTAGAAAATTTACATAATCATATAATTCTTTGTTCAACAATTGATATATTCAAACAATCAATTTATAACTATCAAAATAGTAAAATTATTGTTATTGTATCGGGACGTTATTCAAGTATGACACTTCAACTGTTTCATGATAATAATACAATTGATTCATTTTACATATTTTGTATTGCTGACAACAAGTACGTAGATCTAAAGAAAACATATTCAAAATTGATTGGTATTTACACAAGCTATGATTATCTATTTCAAATATTGAAAAAACAAATTCGTTCATTATTGCAACATTTATCAATATTTAAATTATTTAATGAAAATAATAAATCATTTCGAGATTTAGAGCAAGAAGGTATTGATTATTCATGGTATCAACTTTTACGTGATGCACTCATGTATATGACACACGTAGAAACTTCGAAAAATGAAATGTTACAATACTGTCGATCTTATTTTCATGGCGATGCATTAAGATTAAAACAAATAGAAGATTTTGAACGTACGTATCAGTCAACTGACGCCATTCAATGGTATACAAAAAATCATTTTCCATTTGATTTTGTTAATAAAGCATTAAGAACAGAAGATGTTGAAGCGCTGTATAATCTTCGATATTTTATTACTGATTTATGTCAAGGACTAAAACAAATTTTTAATGAAAATTTTAGTATATATAAAGAGTCAATGATAGAAAATATTGTTGTTTATCGTGGATTAACATTGCCTGATAAAGATATTGAACAATTAAAAAATTCAATTGGAAAATATGTTTCGACTAATGGATTTCTGTCAACCAGTTTGAGTCAATCGGTAGCAGAAATGTTTGCTACAAATGTTTTGTTTAAAATAGAAATTGATTGTTCAATGAAAAATATGATTTATGCTGATATATCTGAGAAGAGTGTCAATCGAGATGAAGAGGAAGTTTTATTCGATTTAGGTTCACTATTTCAAATTACAAATGTACATTTTTGTGGAAAAAAATGGATTATTACAATGATTGGGGTAAATAACGTTGAATATGTAGAAAATACACTCGTTAATTTTTCTCGTAATTCAATGATAGAAAATACTATTTTTATGCCAGATATTTATTACGGACGATTCTTATTTATGGTTGGACATTATAGTAAATGCATTGAATACACAAAAAATCTGTTACAGCAACAACTAATAAATGATAAATTTGATAAATATTATATTCTAAAGATTTTAAGTGGTGCTTACAGCAATAACAAACAAGATGATTTAGCACTAAAATATGAACTAGACGCATATAATATGCGTGAAAATGATAAAGAATTTGATTGTTCAAGTATTTTATTTTCGATTTGTACAAATTTACAAGCAATTGGTGAAATTTATGCAAATAAAGGTGATCATGATAATGCGGCGAAATATTACGAAAAAGCATTATTAAAAATTTCGGATTATAGTAATACTGATAATTTAGTTTTCATAGCCGATCTTCATAATTCACTTGGACATCTGTATTTTCGTCAAAAAAATTTTCTTTATGCTTTTAAACATTGTCAACAATCATTGGAATTTGATTATAAAGAAGTGGAAGTCTTTCCTGAAGTACATGAAACACTAGCACAAATCTATTTTGAAATGAACAACAATAATAATGAAGTGGCATTGAAACATCTTGATATAGCATGTAATTATATACAAAAATATTTTCCTAAAAATCATTTACGCTTAAGAAAAATTTACATATGGTTTGCACTCATTTATTTTGATATGAATCAATATGACTTATGTATTGAATATTGCGAAAAATTACTTAAAATACAAATAATAAATGATTATGAGACATCTACTATGGTATATAGAATGCTTGGATTATCTTATATGATTAGGAAACGTTTTAATGAAGCTTTGAAATATTATAATAAATTATTAGAAATACAAGAACAACATAAAAATTTATTTGAAATTGACGATAATGATCGTATGGATAATGCACGGATGAATGCCAATATTGGACAATGTTACTTTTTGACAAAACAATATGATTTCGCATTAAAATTTTACTCTACTGCTATTGATACTTATGAACAACATATTCAGTCTATTGATACGTTCAATGATGATACTGTTTTGGATGATATCAATCATATCTATGTAAATATGGCTTCAATATATTATGACTATGATGAATATACACCATGTATCATGTATTACAAAAAAACCTTAACAATATTAACTAAAAGAGTTAATCTAACGGTGGATGACGATAAGAATCAGACTGCAAACTTAAACTATATGATTGGTTTTTGTTATGATCGTTTAGGATTTTGCTATAGTCAAAAGGAAGAATTTAAACTAAGTACTGATTATTATGAATATGCATTAAGTATTAAAGAATATATGTCAGACAAAAAATTTGATGACACTGAAATTAGTAAATTGTATTATCAGATAGCTTTTTCATATGAACAAGAACAAAAATATAAAAAAGCTATTCAATATTATACGAAATCATTAGAGATTAATGAAAAGAACGTATCGGACAACTACATGGATATAATCGATTTGTGTGATTGTTTAGGACGATGCGGTGATGCAAATGAACAGTGTAACTTGTGTATTAAATATTATTTGAAAGCATCTATGATATTAGAAAATAATCAACGTCCACAAGATGAAACAAAAAAGGCAATTCTCAACAACGAAATAGGATGGTACTATGGTCTCATTGGAAATTATGATCTGGCTTTAGAATATTGTATGAAATCATTAGCATTTTTCGAAAATAATCAAGCATTTGATAATACTATCCACAAAGCCAATGTTTTATCTAGTTTAGGAGTGATTTACTGTATGAAAAATGATTATGATCAAGCTTGGACCTATTGTAGACACTCACAAAAAATCCTATTTGAAATGACTTCGCTGAGTATATTTCATCTTAATGGTTGGAATTATAAAACCTTGGCTGATATCTACTGCCATTATAATGAAAAAACACTAGCTTTAAACTGTTATAAAAGAGCATTAGAAAATTTTAAGAAAGCTGATCCGATAGTAAGACGAAATATAAAACAGACTGGACGTTTATTGGCATTAATCTTATCAAATAAAATGTAATTTTTGTAAAAAGATGTGGACGTTGTTGGCTATACGCCTCAAGACAGTGAATTCACTTTCCTCATCAGCGGTAATGGACTGGCAAATTAAATCGGTTTTATTCCATTGACCGTAAGTCTATAGTCATACGAAAAACTCAAAGTGTTTGTGTGTGTGTGTTTGTCCGTACAGAGGTCTGACGGATGTACATACACAGAATCACTAATGAGTGTCACGGACACAGATCCACATGGGTAGATGCGTTCGGGTTTTCTGTGAAACCAGAGACGTGTAACACCTGTCCTGGCTGAGAGCGCGGACCGAAGGGACGCGTGAGCATTGTCTGGAATTTCGAAATATTGTTAGACCTTTAGGGTTCTTTGGGGGTCAGATAAAACCAAATCAAATTACAGAGACTCGACGAATTACATAAATTGAGTAAATAACGCTATGACGTTTTCAAACTTTTGAGAGTCACATAACTCGTGAACTGATGCTGACTTGATAAACTTGACTCCTATTCCATACTTGGCTCCGAAACACGTACTCACTCTGGTAAACTTTTCTTACTGGTGAAAAGCTAAAGCAACTGCTTCTGTAAACTAAGGTGAAGATATGGACGTTCTCATCGCCAAAAATATGCATCAGTTCTGTAGTAACAAGATCGAGTTACAACAGAATGAATAATAATACCGACAGTGCATTCATTCGACTTACAGTCAATGGACTTAGTGAATCGATGCGATTCACTTTATTTAGTTTATATGACTATAAACTTGCAGTCAATGGAATGATGCAACCTATCTTAGTTGGAATAACTCATTTTTGCCTATTTTCGAGTATAACTAAAAAGTTCATAATCCAGCCATGATCATTTTTTACGTTGTAAGACATCAACCCAGCTGCCAGCGATACATGCATCAATAATTACTTGTAAAGTTGAATTTATTTATATAGTTAGTTTTAGTTTTGGTTAGGTTTTGGAACCATTTTTCTAGGAAAAGTAAGGGGTGATATAAAGGAAAAAAGAGTCAATTTCTAATTAATAAAATAATTTTTCTTTCTCTTGCAACTATAGATCTAAATGCTCACTCTGTGTGTAATTTCGCAGTATTTTCGCTGTATTTTCGCAGTTTCAATCGCTATATTTTATCTGGTATTAATCTAAGTGCTAATCCATCATATATTACTTCTACTGGTGTTTATCGTATAAATGGTTTAACTAGTGGGGCTGCTACATTTCTGTTACTAGTAATAAGTAATAACAAAAGCGTTATTACTTATCACTTAGTAGTAAGTAATAAATTTCAAAAGTAATAAAAAGTAATAAGAAAATAAAAAGACGATAGAAAATAATTTTGATCATCAATTGGATTTCGGTTCTCACACTGAGACACTAACACAATATTCGAACTTATTTTCGTATCGTGAGTTATTTTTCAGTGTTTATGCGCGAGTGATTGAACGTGTATGGTCTCTCGACTATGAAGATCACTGACTGATCAACTGGTGCTACTTGGAGTGTTAAAGGTTAATTTAGCCTCTTAACTAAGTCTCCTTCATTTTAATTAATAGACACCTGTTTCCGCCGTTGCCAGTTTATATAATTTTTCACTATCTTTACGCTTGAACCGTTTACGTACATATGGATACTATATTTTCCCGTTTTCGAAACGAAGAAAATTTGCCTTATAAACACGAAGGAAATAACCTCCAGTTTTGTTGCACACACTTCGAAGTGTCTTTCACTTAAAGGAGAAAACTTCCCTTTTAATGAAGCATGTGTAGCCCGCACATTTCTGATTAAAATAAGATATCGTCCAGCTTTACACGACCTTTCTTTGCAAAGTTATAGAATAGACAAGAAAAGCCCGAAATTAATTTCTTATTTCTGTAACTTTGAACTGATAATGGACATTTAGGGCTTTCCTTGTAAGTTCCATAACTTTGCAAAGAAAGCTGGAAGATGCCTCATTTTAATCACCCTTCATACCTATATTAGGTGGAATAACTCATTTCTGCCTATTTTCGATTATAATTAGAAAATGCATAATCCAGTCAAGATCAATCTAAATTATGTCAGAATATCAAGATGTACTCTATTTTACCTGCTCAAGACGATTTTTTACTTCAGAATAGTAAAAAAAACATCCTTGTACTTCGAAAGGTTTCTAAAAAACCGTTTCTAAAGAGAAGGTACTTTGTGTTGATTTTAAAGCTTTTATCGAACTGCATAGTATCGAGCAGGTAAAATAGAGTACATCTTAATATTCTGAGGTAATTTAGATTAATCATGGCTGGATTATAAACTTTTTAGTTATACTCGAAAATAGGCAAAAATGAGTTATTCCAACTAATATAGGTTTTCACTAGGTTGTAGGAGATTTTCTGAAAAACAAATATTGTCACGAGACTCAGCGTGGTTGATTACCTACGTTTCTATTATTTTCGGAATTACCACACCTAAAGAAATACCTAGGACTCTCAGTCAATCCGATGCCGCGCCTGAACCGGGAAAACTCAGGAGTTCGCTTAGTACGCATTTTGAAGAGGACACTTTGGACTATCTATCTATGGGAAAAAACTGATAGATTGTTATCTCAGTTTCCCGAGATTCGAAGTGCTTTTTCAAAGATCTTCCAATTTTTCCGAGTTTAATCAGAAAAATCATTCTTTTTGTGTTAACAATAAGACTTAAGTCTAAATTAAAAGTTTAAAAATCGATCATTTTAATACAGAGGTTAGAGAAAAAAGTAGAATTGGATGAGGGAAGGGACGAATCAATCGTTACTTTAATCACCCTAACAAATGTGTTGATGATTTGGGTGAAATATTATGACTATCCTTCACTCACGCTTCTATCTACATTTATAGTCTGATGTTGCAACTGTCTGAAGGATATCAAAACATGGCTCTGCAGTCCTTGGAAGATGTATTAAAATCCATCGTCTTTTTTTATCCCGATGTTCATCGTCGTATCAGATCATGGTTATTCAGACGATTCTTTTGATGATTGGATCTAACTATTACATTAGCAAAACAAGGAGCCTCTCCTCGACATCTGCCGTAAATGATAATAAATTCCTTTTTTCTAACGCCTTGCATATATGCTTTTATAGTTGCATCACTGTTTCTTATAATAACGCATTGCTTTGGCACATGCGATAATGTATTAAAACCATTATTATTTCTTATAAATGCAAGAATTCGAATGTTTGTATTCTATTATAATGCTCAGATAGATTTAGAATCATGTGGTTTAGTCTGTTCTTCATCGATATTCACAAATTCTTCTACATTTAACTTTTCTAATAGTTCTCGATTTCTTCTCAGTTTGATTACATCGAGAAAATTTTGTCCGTTGAAGTTTCTTCTTTGAAGATCTGAGTTTATTTTAATGAGAAATTCGACCAATCGATGTCGACAACCACGAACTTTCAGACAGACATGAAGTAGTAGGTCATTTCCATCTTCATCTAAATGGTGAACAAGAGAGAGTGATAACCTTAATAAATGTTCCAATAATTTGCGTTCTTTCTTTTGTAACAATATGAACACTAGATCTTTACTAGTAACCCAAGTTTCTAATGGGCTTTCGTTCATAAGTGTTTTGAGTAATTGTCGTCCTAGGTGATTTCGTGTCATACTATCGATGATACTTCGACAATTGCGCGACTGGTTAAAGAAATGTCTCACATGTTCAAGACGATGATAAATGAAAAGAATCACATCTGTGCGATTTTTGTTTATCAATTTGATAAGAATCGATTGAAATCTATCGTTGGCATCGACTTGCCATGACGGTGTCCCTGTTGAAATATAAATATCAGTGATGATTTGTAATATTTTCCATTGAGCGTTAGCAATGAAAATTTCATTTCTATTGACTATGTCGCGTGCAGGAATTAGATATAATATATCGAAGAGACTTGTTTGAGTCCAATCTTCGATATTACACTGTAATCTTTGACATTGTATAGCAAAAAACGCCAAATTAACGACAGCTTGATAACATTTCATGTTAACAGGCATAACATAAGAATGATAACCATAATATTGTGCGCAACAGACACCATAGAAGAGAAAATACCAAACAGTACAAACAGAATAGATAAAATAGTCTTGATTTGACAGAAGACGAGGATTCGAAGAGATTACTGCTTTGAACATTTGAGTTTTCAAATGGAAAAGTTGTTGATTGTTGGAGTTCATATTACTAAGATCAAAATGTAGTAGTCGGTTGATGGCCATAGCAAGGTTGAAAGCACTCTGCTCAGAATCACTACACTCAAGACGGGCACCTCTTTTGAGAACCAGGAATTCTATTTGTTTCATGCCATCGATGTTCATCGGGGTGTACTGCAAGTTGGTGAATGTTTGATATAGTTCCTTGTCTACATCAATGATCTCATCATTGGTAAGTTGTTGACGAAGAACTTTAAACGTTGTCAGATTTGACTGGAGTTCGTCTCCCGATTGCTTGTATAGTTGTTGGACATGAAAAGACATTAACGACTGAAAACATTGATGAAGTTGTTGTTCGTTTACTGTACCATTTACGACTGATAGCTCGTGAGAAACTTTGTGAAACACTGCAGAATTGTAATAATTGTCAAAGGATACATGCCGACTATTGATGGATAAAATATCAGTTAACAAATGCAAACGTTTATCGATGAGAATTCTATTAAGACGTTGGTTTAAGCCAAGAAATGTTCGAAGTATCGTATGAACATCACCAGCATATCTGAAGATGATCATTAAAATTTCATTGGGTAATGTTTCGAAAGTCGTTGACATATTTTGTATTCCTTCAATAAAAAGTTACTTTTGTTTTTATGTATTCACGTGTTCTCTCATCAGAAAAAGCGTGTAATTACACAATATTTCTCATATTCATTGTATTATTTTTCTTTTCTGTTCTCTACATACAGGGTGTCCCATAAGTAGCACTATGATAAAAAAAGTCAAATATTTCCACTCGGATTCAATCAAATGGGCTGATTTTTTGGTTACCAATAGAACTTTATTCAAAGGTTTTCTTCGTACGAATATGTAAGCAACCCATGTCGCGCATTTTTTGAGAATACCGCCGGTTGGACCGAACCGTGTGGTATACCCTGCGGTTTAGCGACGGTTATTTTCTCTAACCGCGGTATACAAAATACATAGTTAAATTTTTTAATATAACTCATTAGGTAAACTTATGCTTGAAAGTCAAGATGAAAAAAGAAAAGAATGTCACTTTGCTTTTCTTTTATCTACTCTTTTACAATGAGAAACATATCATTTATTAGTAACACTAGTAGCGAGGTGACATTCTTTTTCTTTTCTCATCTTGACTTTCAAGCATAGGTTTTACCTTATGAGTTCTATTAAAAAATTTAACTATGTATCTTCAAGTATAAATAATGAAGCAAACCCGCCATATGAAGAGATTGTGGGTATACTTGAATGGGAGTTAGATCAAAATAAGGAAATCAATAAAAACGTCGCTGGTTTACATAAATATGCGAAGAATAATCAAATAAAAGGAAAATTGAATATTCATATTATTCAACCATTAAAAAATTCAAATCATGTTATGATCGTCGATATTGTTAATAGAGGAATTCCATTGTTTTGGTTTATAGGGAATAATGCAACGAGCATAACTCAGCTAGATTTACCTTATGCTATTAATGATGGATTTTATTTACGACAAGGATTTACATATGTTGCTTGTGGATGGCAAGCGGATTTATTACCATTACCTGGTATATTAGGATTACGGTTAGATGTTAAGGATCATAGTGATGATAGTGTAGTAAAAATTATGTCTGAATTGGATACCTCAACACAACATTTTATGAGTTCAGTAGATAATAGAAATTTAAAATTAACAGCAAAAGGTCATGTTGGTATAACAGTGAATGATAGTAACCAAATTGATGCTAAATTATTTGAACTCAAATACTACAATGATAAACCAATTGAAATTCCAAGAGATGAATGGAGATTCGGCAAAATAAATGATAATAATGAATATGAACAAGATGATGATTGGATTTGTTATATGAATGGATTTAAATTCGGTTACACATATCAAATAATATTTGATAGAAAGGGAGGTTATCCGACAGGTATTGCATTAGCCATATTACGTGATTGTATTTCATGGTTAAAATACGGTAATGATATTATTTCATCACCTATTGGACAACTGAATTATGCAATTGCAGTAGGTGGTTCACAAAGCGGTCGACTATTACGTACATGGGTAAATGATGATTTTAATGTTGATGAGAAAAATCGAGAAATATTTGATGGAATATCAAACTGGGTTTCGGGTAGTTCAAGAGGACAGTTTAATCAATATTTTGGACAACCATCAGTAGCATTTCCTCATTTATCTCCAATACAATTTCCATTTACAATTACAGAATCAGTTGATCCGGCCACAGATCATATTGGTTCATTACATGAAAACATAGATAAAAGAAAAAGTAAATTAAAAGTATTCTACATTAATACTAGTATTGAATATCATAGAGGTGATGCATCATTACTTCATACATCATTAAATGGCGAAAAAGATATTCCGATTTCATCAAATTCAAGAGTTTATCTCTTGTGTGGATGTCCACATAATCCCATGCCTGATTGGCCTCCAAGTTTTGCCAATGGATTAAAAAATAATATTTATATACAACAAAATTATTATATACCTGTACATTTAAGTCCATTTTATCGTGCTCAGTTATTATTATTAACAAAATGGATTACTCAGTCTATTGAACCACCTAAAAGTATTTATCCAACATTGAAATCAAATTCATTAGTTTTACATGAAAAAGTTTATCAATGGTTTCAATCAATTCCAAACTCGAATCCACCAGAAAATAAATCCATTAGTCGATTATGGAGACGTGATTTTGGATATTCATTCAACGATGGTATATGTAATTTTTACCTCCAATTAATGGTGATATTTATAATGGTTCATTAGTTCCATCAATTGATGAAAATGGTAATGATGTTGATGGAATATTATTACCTCATATTGTTGTTCCTTTAGCAACTTATACTGGATGGGCTCTACGTCATCCTAATTTTGGTGGTGAATGGAAAATTATGATGATAAGTGGAAGTCTAATACCATTTTCAATTACAAAATCAATGAGACTATTATCAAATGATCCTAGATTAAGTATTGAAGAACGTTATACTACAAAGGAACAATACTTGAATAAAACTAATGAAGCTACTTTAGATTTAATTCAAAAACAATTTTTACTCGAAGAAGATTTACAATCAATCATTTTGTTTTCATCGAAATTATGGGATTGGATATACTCATTATAGTTTATCTTTATTTTCATTTGTTTTTACAGTTTAGTGCAATGATGAAACTGTTTGTTCATACACACCTCATTATACTTAAACTAATGAAAAAAAAATTAAAATCTTTCAATAGAAAAAATGTGTGCTGATCAATAATTATCAAAGGATGAGCAAACAAAAGCTGTTTTAAAAGAGAACCTCTGATTCAGAGTTCAGAGGCTATGCATAAATATGCTTTTTAAAATTTCAACAAATAATTTTTACCAGATTGGTATTTTCCGTGTCATCCAAAAAGAGAAAATGATAGCTTCGCTTGTCTAATTTCTAAATAAGAGAGAGGAAAACAAATAATAATGGTCTTGCAAAGACATTTCATGTTTCTCACTTATAAGTTTAATATAAATTTTGCATACGTCAGAAAATGAATTTCTTGAACCGCATCTTCACTAATAGTTCGAAGTCGATGATAAAATGAATAATAACTAATCTACAAGACGCTTTTAATGTGATTCAATATTGTACGTACCTATTAAAAAGCAACTTCATTCATGCTACAGATGGAGAAACAACTTGTTGTTATTGAAAATGTAACGAGCAAGCATTTCCTACAACGAACGAACCATTTGTGCGAGAAAGAATCCTAAAAGATGATTCTTTGGTCTTCCTGTAGGTTGATCATTTCTCTGATAGTATTGCATATCACCGGAACAAAAAAATAAAGTTAATTTTGAGTCGCTGGAAAATGCTTTTCCGTATTCAGCACACTCGATAACCCAGAAGATTTTCTATTTTTGGCCCGATGTACTTTCGAAAGTTTAAGAAAAATTTTGAAACAAAAGGGCGCAAAAAAATTTCTATGGGAATATAATATTAGTTTGAAAATTTTTCTTAAACTTTCGGAAGTACCTCAGGCCAAAAATAGAAAATCTTCTGGGTTATCGAGTGTGCTGAATACAAAAAACCACTTTTGAGCAACTCAAAACCAACTTTATTCTTTTTCCGGTGATATGTGATGAATAGAGTAAGAGTAGTGGTAGACCGATGGTCAACTATCAACTACTTTCTTTTCTTTCTTTCCATTTGCTCTATAAGATGTAAACTATAGACCAGAGTCCAAGAGCAATCGTGGTCGAGCCATCTGATATGTATACCAACGATGAAGGTCAAGAAGAAACAAAAAGACGTGAAAGAGGTACATTTCTACATTCTTTCGACAATAATTTATTTTGGTTTTTGCTGTTTGAAATCATTCATTTATCACCTACAATGTATTGTATAAATTAGGGTAAAAAGCGACGTACTAGAATTATCACATGTTTATCCTGTTTCTCGTGCATAATCGAAGTTTAGAAATATTATTGCGCACCTTAAGAGACGCTTCGCCAGAGCATCAAACACACAGCATGAGCGACGTTAAATGAAAAAAATTAACTGATGCCTTTTATTTTACATTCGATTCTACCGTCAAAACTGTGGTTATGAAAATCTTATTGACTTTATCTGACTTATGGTGATTGATTCGCAAATAAATATATATACGTGTTTTCAAAATCTAATTTTGACGTTATTTCCACGTCCCATCGACGAACGAGTGCTTCTGCAGATATAGAACTCCTGGAAAATAGTGATTCTCCCGTGGGCTGTACGTAAGTTCAGATAAAACAAAATACGCTTCTCCGAATACTATTACGTGGTTCTTGTAATACAATTATGTGATTACCCATCAGAATTACTAATCCCATCCCATAACTATAATTTAATGGTAAGTTGTTTATTCACTCGCACCCTACAGGCTCCTGTTTCATCACCCAGTTTGAAGAAACGGTTTCGCACTACGATGTTCTAACGCCTATGTTACGATTGACAGTAAACCGAACAAGAGGACATGTAACCATTCGTACTGATCCCTGGCTTACGCAAAAAAAACTCGCTTCCTTTCGGCTATTAATTACACGCGTTGAGAGAGGCGACATTCTACGTTAAGTAACAAATCAGCGTTAAGTTTTAGTACATCGTTAATCTAGGCAAACTATTTTAGGTAAACTATATAGGAGTAATTGTCTAGAATAGTAGAAACCATACTCTAATCTCATCACTATTCTCCAATTATAGTGTATGAGTCACTGGGTGCAGAACATCGACTATATCATCGTCGAGCGACATACATTGATATATCACTAAAGACAGTCATATTCATATAGACAAAAAAAAAGAAAAAGTAGAAAAATACTGAAATCACAGCGTGAAGTTAGCGGATAGGCATTTTGGAAAAAATTAAGAGTAGTTTTGCAAGTGACCCAATGCTTTTTTCTATAAAACGAAATTCCAGGCATGAAAAAACAAGCTAGCAATGCCCGCGGCAGTTGGCTGTAAACAAATATAAAAATATTGAAACGGATTAGCGAGCACTGAAGCTAGCTACTCTAGTTCTGATATCCTTGAATACCTGACAGGAGAATAAAGGCATATTTGCCAAGCAAAACGTTTGCTAAACTTCGAGGGACACATCACTAAATGCAGTTTTTGACGCTGAGCACGAATATGACGTCAGTTTTTAATGGAAAATGTTTTTGATGGGTGAAAAGCTGGTTTTAATGTTTAGAAACCCATTTTTCCCTGTGAAATTAACAAGTCTAAATTTCTCTTTTCATACCTCTATACAGTAACTACTTGATTACATGATAACGCAAAGATACCCCAAAAATGTTTACCCTCCTGTGCAGGAAAGATATTTCAAAAATAGCCCCAAGATCCAGAACATTAAAGGTTGGGTCAAATTCCTTCACTTAACTTCCATACTATATTTATTTTACTCAGTTTTTGATGCTCTTTCGAACGGCTTAATCAGAACTTAATCAGAAATCAAAACTCCACCCACTCATTCTCGAGATTTAGCCGTCACATGAAGAGTATGACACTCTTGGCTTGAAGTCGCATTTGCACCCTATGGAAAAAGCTTTTCAAAATTATTTTTTTACCAAAATGTAGCCCGCGCTCTCTTCTGTCTATTGATGTAGTTTTCATATTTTGTAGACGCTTATACAGCGTGAAAAACATTTTTATCAAACGTACAAATAATTTTGGCCAAAAAAACATCGACCTCTCTAGTGTTATAGCCATAAGTCTAGATGCAAAAGGCCTAGTGATTGCCAAATTTTACCATAGAGAGCAGAGCCAACGGGCAATCTCCTGGTAGTTTCACAATTAAAAAAGACACCTTGGTCACAGACTTATGAACAAACACTGATCGTACAAATAATTTTTTCCGCCACTGTAGGTATGCGAAAAGAGATGATTGTCTGCGGAATTACTTTATTCTGAGCGAAAAGATTTGTTTACTTTGTAAATGGAACATAGAAGTCATAGAATAAAGAAGTAAACACTGTTTTGTCTGACTGAGATGATCAAAACACATAGCATTGTTACTGCATATGTTTCGACTGTCTGATAGCTCAGATGGTTATGTGTTTGCTTCTTAATTCTAGGCCAGTACCAGAATTTAATCTGATGCTGAAGTTTATGTTTTTTTTCATTTTAATTGATTTTCACAGAATATAAACGCGTTAAAAACTAACGCGTTGAAACGGTCCAAATGCATCCTGATAAAGGCGTTAGAAATTAACGCACATCAACGCGTTTTTTTGCCAGAAAACGTTTGCGTGGGATTTGTATTAAAACTTTAATCAATAGCCCAAGCCACATGAACATGGCTGTTTCGTTGTTTAAATCACGTATAGATTTTTGTTTTTGATTATTATCAAGCGAACAAAAAGCTTTGATTGGTGTTAAATTGACTGAACGAGCAGCGTTATTAACCATTAGTTTTAAGAAAAGCGTCTTTGTTTTCGCTTGCAGAAGAGTTTCGCTTAAAGTGTCAGAAAAAATATATGTATGTGATACCATTGTTTCCGCCTGAAACCAGTTTTACATTCGTTTCTCCAAAACTAGACTTTGCACTCAAAAAGAAAGACCAGATTTGAGATCTACGTGAAAAGATGAATCAGAATATGTATACTATTTCTGTCTAAATCGCCTGCAAAAATAAACGACCTAATTTGTTATGATATTCTTCGTTTAATGTGTTGATTGAAAGAATTTCGTAACATCAAATGATGCTTGTTAAACACACAATTCAATTAAGTCAAGTATAGTACAAAAAATAATATATACATATATGTTCTTTTTCTTACGTGACAACGATAGTTCCACATTCTTTTTTTCAGTCAGATTGAATAATACTACACTCAGTTTTCTTTCCAATCCTGTCACCGGTTTTCAAGATATCCGAACTTCAGATATGTGAACTTTGAAAGTTCGGACACTAGTTATACTAGGTTAGATGTCTCTGGAAAGAATTTTCAATGAAATCTGATGTGAAATGAAATCTGAAGTGATGCTTGAAAGAAAATCGAGGTCAAACTCGGACTTTTTGGAAAAAATCAATCAGATAACTAGGAAATAAAAAAAGATATAGTGCTCAGGTTTATGTCGGTTGAGAGAGCGTCAATCAATTTGAATATATATAAGTTGATGTTATACCAGCTTTTGATCATTTTATATAAATTATAAAAATACACTGAAAGAGCATTTTACATCCATTTTCTAACATTTCCCATCAAAACGTCTTTATAGTTGGACCCTTGAAAATAATCTCATATAACAATTTTTCAAGCTCTTTCAAACCGCTTATTCAGATTATTGAGAAAATGTTTCGTTAAACCGCAAACTGACGCTTCCTAGGCCCATTTCTCGATAAAACTCGATTTTCTGATCAATTATCGATCAAGTTCCGCGCACTTTATTTCAGAGTTGAACATAGATTCCTACACAACTCGACATGGGCTAAAATCCAGACATTCTTCGTTTCGATATCAGAACTTTTTTCTTTCAAGAAAATGCCTTAACATTTGAGTGCCCATTTTTGGCGAAGGTATAAGGATTTAAATACGAACCAAAAGTGTCTAACTTCCACAGAAAAAATGAAAACTAACTAACCGTAGACGATAACTTTAGACGAGCAA